TGGTGGTGTGCTGCAATCATTGTAGCATCGTAGATTTCGTGCAGTAGTGGTGCGCTACAGATCCCCTGATCTGCGGCGATCGTGGATTGTGTGGTGGCAACGAGGGTGTTTGTGTGGTGGCAGTGTTGCGGTGGGTGGTTGATCTGGCGGTGGTCTATTTGAAGTGTTGCAGTGGGTTGTTTGAGGTGCTGTGGTGGCGGCACTCGACGGATCTGGTGTTTGTGTGGACCGTGACTCCCAATTGTGGTATTGGTATTGGTGTTGGTGTGTGGTGGGTGGCGGCAATAGTGATGGTGATGGCGATGAGAATTGTGACTGTGACCGATTTCGAATTGTGAATTGTGACTCACAATTGGATAAGTAATATGAAATTTGTGACTGTGATTTCCAATTGTGACTCACGATTTATTAAATTGTCGAAAAATTTATTGTAACTAATTAATCCAATAATTTGCAACGAGTAAATGAGTTGTGACCAATAATATTTTTTAGGTCACGCATTATTTTTTTGATGGTGGTCACAAATTATTTGGTTGACTGTGATCGTTAAATTGGTTAATCTATGACCAATAATAAGTGACCAATGAAAAAAATAAATTGTGACTTGAAAAACTGTTAATCCGTGACCGATAATTTGATAATTTGTGACTATATAAGAAGTTGTGACTTGTAATATTTGTGATTTGTGATCAATAAATAAATTGTGACTTATGAAATTTTCGATTTGTGATCGATGAACAAATTGTGATCTATAAATTTTTTGAATTGTGACATCAAATTTCTGATTTGTGATAAAAAAAAAAATTAATCTGTGACCTATAAAATTTTTGATTCGTGATCGAAAAATAATATGTGACCTATGAAATTTTTAATTTATGACCGAAAAATAAGTTGTGACCAATAATATGATAAGTCGTGACTAAAAATTAATCCGTGACTAATTGTTTTTGAATTTGTGACCAATAAACAAATTGTGACTTACAAAATTTTTGAATTGTGATTGTAAAAAAATTTGGGACATAAAATTTTTAATTTGTGATCAAAAAATAGTAAGTAACTAATTATATTGTTAATTTGTGACCAAATTGTATAGATACGTGATCTAAATATATTTAATTAATAAAATAATTAATTAACTAATTAAATTATAAATAATTTTTAATAAAAAACTGATTTTAGAAATTTGAAACTTGTTTTCTTGTTTTTGAAATGTGTCATAATTAATTTCTTAGTTATGAAATTTTCCCTTTATTGTTTCATTTCTTAGCCCAACAAAATTCAACCCACTAAATAATCTTAAACACCTACACTAAAGTGCATAACGTTGTTTCGACTTTCGCACTCATTCTCGCAGTCTTGCTGACATTCCAAAACCTATACAATAACCAACCGAAGCTGTGAACTCTGCCCACCGAAGCTGTGAACGTAGTGATTATTTGAACAATGTAGTTTACTGGTCTCTGACATTCCAAAATCATTGCAGTTATTTAGATAGTTGAAATTTTAGTATTAATATCTACTCTTTAGTATTTGTAAATTGTAAGCATTTGTAAATTCATCTTGTTGGACAACTTGTTATTTACATATTATTAAATTTGACTATGTTAATTTGTAAAATTACGATTAATGTGTCATTAGTTATATTTATATAGTGTTGTTATAAATGTTAAAAAATTTAATTATAGTACGGACCCGAATAGAACCAAACCCGAACGGTTCCATAATTATATTTGGACCCGACAGTTCCATTTACTAGATATTCGAAAATTTTGGTTCGATTCGGTTCTCTTTAGAACTTAACCGAATCGACTTGCGCCCACCTCTAGAAATGTGTGGTTGAAAAATAAGGAAATTTTTTTGATTTACGTGTAATATTATTTTAATAAAGAATGTATGATTGAAAAAAAGAAAAAAGAAAAATGCATTTTGAAAAAAATGGATACCAAACGGAGCCATAGTCCTTGTTTGGTCTTATTATTTTCAAAATGCGTTTTTTCTTTCTTATTTTCAATCATATATTCGTCAATAAAATAATATTACAAACAAAATTGAAAATTTTTCGTTATTTTTTAATTACACAATCCCATCAAATTATTATTTTAACTTTTTGACCAAAAACTGAGACTCAAACAAGCTCATAATGTTTGACGTGTCAGAGGACGGAGAGTGCCCTAGTTGGACAAATATGTTTGGGATCTAACTTAATTTTTTAAAAGTTTATAAGTACATTTTTACCCAAAAAAAATGAAAAAACAAAAAACAAAGAAAAAAAAATGCTGCTAAGCAAGCTCAGCCGAACCCAAACATGCTCTAAGTGGTTAAATAACTGACAATTTTTAAATAGAAAAAAATATGTCAAAAAACTTCTTTACACTTCAATCTTTTGTAGAATTAGAAATCTATCCTGTTAATTATTGTGAAGAATACACTCACCATTTGATAGTTTTCAAAGAATAAACAAAGGTGTACGCAATCCTTATCTAAATGTATTGTTCTCTTGGATGTTTAATTTGAAAGAATTGATGATAATTATCACGTTCATCGGTATCAACAGAATTATTCAATATTTAAAAAAAATAAAAATTCGTATCATAATTATAAGTAGTTGTCCTCAGTTGCCTTAGATATATTATTATAATTTACTCAAATAAATATCATCTTACAGTTCTATCTCTCATTTTTATTTCTTCAAAATTGTAAAAGATATAAAATAAATTAGGTTAATAATTTTTTCAGACGTTGGAAATGGATAGGGAGAGTAAGGAATGAAATACAAATGGAAAAAACACAGAGCCTCCGTTAACAAATTTATAAATGATTTATAAACAGAAATAGTAACAAGTTCTACGAAATGTAGATAATATAATTGGTCACATCTCACAGTTTATCACTTAATCTCTACGAATCATTCCGATAGACCTCCCAACTAGTCATGCAAGTTTGTTACTCCATATTCTAGAGTGTTCCAATCGAGTTAGTTATCAGGGATAATTTGGGGAATAAGGGTGGAAGTAGTAGTATAAATGTAATAGGTGTGGGAGTAGAAGGGGGCATTGTTTGAGTGAGTTTTCTGTTAAGTTTGGAGGGAACCCAGGCCTCTCGAATTGCCTGTGGGATTGTCAATTGGTTATTCAATTCAATAAAGAGTTGTTTTCCAATTCCAGTTATCTCACTTAGTTCCTCTGTTATATTACAAAATTCTAGTTCCTTACTCACAGTTGCTTGAATTCACAACATCACAAGTTAGAGTTCTATCAATTGGTATCAGAGTAGTCGATTCTTAGGGAGTAGCAACGATGGTGATACAACAGAAAGGAGATCGAGTCGTTGATTCAGGGTTGGATTTATGTGGTCGACTCAATACACCGATATTCTATGTGGATAATTTAGATTCATGATTGTTTGAGGCGGAGCAATGCCTAAGCATGACTCGCAGCTTATCAGAGAGGGCAAAGGTAGAAGTCACAATTGCTTGCTTCCTTGGAGAGGCTTGGGCATGGTTTCAAGGGATAGACGATCATTGCCTGATTCAAACTTGGGAAGAATTGAAGATTTTGGTGTTGGCCCGATTCCGCGTGAATCACTTCTCTGGTGAAGAAGTGTCTACGGGACAGCATAGGAGTGTGGCACACAGGGAAACTTCAATTGCTGAACAGTGGGGTCGATTGGAGGAGAAGACGTCAGAGGTGAGATGGGTCACTGTAAATTGGCCGAACTAGGAGAAGAAATCCATGGCGAAGCCGGAAAGGGAGAGAAAGGAAAAAGAGATTGCAAAGAACTCATCGAAGTCGGTGCATATTGAAGACAGAGATGAATTTCGACCATCTCAGAAAGGACAGACAGCGACCTCATTTGAAGCCACCTTTGATTATGAAACTCTACCCAAATCGAAGGAAATCAGAGCTATTATAACATCCAGTAACCCGTGTGACGCCGATAGCTTGGTCGCCCCTTTACAAATGCTGCCAGCGAAGCTATTGTGGAGGATTTTGGTTAAACCCATGTCCCATGGTTATAACATAAGGCTACAACCTCATGGTTTGGGCCATATTATGAATTGGGCCCAAGAAGGGGAAGGGGAATTAATGAAAGAGGCCCAAAGGGTGGAACAAATTATAAGGCCTGCCCAGACAATAGAAGATGAAAACGATTTATTGAAAAGGGCCTAGTCTTATTTCGGCCCAAATAGACCTAACGTTATCAGTTGTAACTCAGCTTTGTCCAGCCCAACTATGAGCAACCCAATTTACACAAATATATCCAGGAATTATGTTGATGATAAACTAGGAGTTTTATTTTGATTTATTACGCAAAAGACCAAAAAAGGGCAGATTTCACAAGTGATGGAGGTTTGGGGGGGGGGGGGGGGGGGGGGCTTATTTT